GGTATCAAGCAGAGCTTGATACAATCCCCAGTCCTAGCAATAGCCGATCAGGACAGGCCATTTCATGTGGTCTGTGATGCCAGCGATTTCGCAATCGGCTGTGCATTAATGCAGTACGACCTTGAAGGCGTTGAACGCGTCGTCTGCTATCAGTCGCGTCAGCTGCAACCAGCTGAGCGGAACTATCCAGTGCATGACAAGGAACTCCTTGCCATGAAGTATGCACTCGCGAAGTTCAGAGTCTATCTATTAGGAGATAGACCCTTCGTTGTTTACACTGACCATGCGTCCTTACGCACGGCAGTGAACAGCCCGCACCTTTCACAACGAATGGCGCGGTGGTTGTCATTCTTTGCAGAATACAACTTTACGGTCGAGTACAAACCAGGACGACTTAATGTCGTCGCTGATGCACTCTCACGTCGTCCCGACTTTGAAACAGTCGCGAAACCCAACAGTGAGACAGTCACTGTTGCGGTTATGACGTCCTCAGTTCCATCTACAACGTTGTATGATGATGTGAGGCGGGCATACGCCCAAGATGGTGAGATAGTGAAGTTGTTGTCACATCTCTCCCAACCATCTCGAGAATCGTTGAAACGATTGTCGTCTCGCGTATCGATCTGCATCAGATCGATACACTACTCGTAACGGTTTACTGTACTATACAGCCGTTTCTGGTGACACACCACGTGTTGTCATTCCAGATGATACTGATCTGCGTTTGCGGATCATGTTCGAGTATCACGATGCTCCTATAGGAGGACATCGTGGCCGAGAGAAAACATATCTCACGGTAAGTCGAGACTTTTACTGGCCCCGCCAGTATCAGTTTGTGCGAAAGTATGTTCGCGCATGCGAAGTCTGCCAACGAGTGAAGTCAAGTCCTTCACTGCGTGCACCTTTACAGCCTCTACCGGTTCCGGCTGAGTGCTGGGAATCCATCTCAATGGATTTCGTCTTCGGGTTACCCAAAGACGCATACGGGTATTCTCGTATTTGTTGACAGATTCAGAAAAATGGTACACCTTGTGGCTGTACCAGAGACAATCACGGCAAGTGGCTGTGCTTGTGTCTTTATTGACACCATCTTCCGACTTCATGGGTTGCCCCGTGAACTCGTATCAGACAGAGATCCACGATTCACTGCTGATTTCTGGCGTTCCGTGTTCAAATCACTCGGAACGCGCTTGAAGATGTCAACATCTGATCATCCAGAGTCAGATGGTCAGACGGAACGTGCCAATCGTGTCCTTGAAGAGATACTTCGAGGATACGTACACTCCTTTAAGAGTTGGAGTGAGTTTTTGCCGATGGTAGAGTTTGCCATCAACAACTCGGTGCATGCGTCCACGACACATACACCGTTTTACGTGAATGGCTTGCGCCATCCGCGTGTACCCACCTTACTAGAGTGTAACTCTGGTTTAAGGGGGGGAGGGACTCGCGCGAGCAAAAACCGATTTGGTTCACGCTCATCACGCTCTGACGAAGAAGTCATTGCGTTTGATGCCGATATCGATAACATCGATATCGAAGAAGATGATGCCAGTGAGAGTGCGGAAGCCCTCACTGAAGACAATGATCCCAGTGAGAGTGCGGAAGCCCTCACTGAAGAAAAGGTTGTTGTCGCTGCAGTGCGCTCACAGCACACTGAAGCTAACGAGTCATCAGGATGAGTTCATACTGGCTCGTGAAACGGTAGTCCGTTTTGTGCAAGACTCCATCGCCGAAGCGGTGGATAAGCAAAAGCAAAACGCTGACAAGAATGGAAGGGCAAACACTCTTTTATTTAATAAAGGCGACTTAGTCCTACTGTGTACGGTTAATCTACCAAAGCATGTAGTGACTAACTTGGGTAGCAGTAAACTACTACCCAAGTACATTGGCCCATTTCGTGTATTGCACCGCCTAGGCAATGCATACACGATCGAGTTACCACGTAAGATGCGAACGCATCCCACGTTTTACGTTGGTCGGCTTAAGCCGTACCATCAGTACGCTGCTTCTTCCGATGAAGAACGCCCTTGCGCTCAAGCATCTCGCAGAGGGCCTTGCGCTCCCGATGGTGGGCATCAACAAGGGTCTGAAGAGCAGTTATCTCAACCCGAGACCGATCAACAATCCCACGAGCTACCCTTATCTCGTCACGAAGAGATGTCAGAGATCTCTCGTTCTCGAGCTGAGCAAAGGCAAACTCAGCTCGATGCTTCGAGGCAGTGTCCGCCATTTGGAGACGCCTATTCCGCTCATGTTCGAGATCGTCGCGCAATGCAAGAGTTACGCGGTCAAAGAGGCTCTCGGGGATACACGGATCCCCATGATCGTGTGGAGAGCGTCTTTCCTCCTCCTCCACCTCCATTAGAGGACTCTCGCGGTGGTCAGCACTATCTAGTTGAGCAGCTGTTGAACCACCGCGACGTGAACGGACGTCGGAAGAGTTATCTCGTCCGGTGGCGCGGCTATCCCCCGTCCTGGGATACTTGGGAGCCCCGCTCCCAACTGATAGTTGACGTACTGGGTTTGGTTGAGCAGTACGACGCGGCGCATCCTGTGCCGCAGAAGGAATGCCGGAGAAAGTCTTCCCGGCAAGGTCGTAAAGGGATTTCAGGTTGTCAATCCCTTCGTACATCTCAATAGAGATACGTACGCGCCACCACGGGCTAGTAAGGAGGTAAGCCTCCTTAGGTGCTCGTGCAGAGTTGTTCACACAACATGGGCACGAGTCTCCCCAAGAGAGGCAGGGTAATCCTTTCTCCCTTGACAGACGATGCAGCTTATAGCGTGCACCTGTTGGGGTTCGCTTTTCAAATTTATCACGAGCTTTGATAAGTTTGTCGTTCCAAGCGTCACGACCTACATCCTCGAGGTTATGGATGTAGGCGTTCCACGCTTGAAGTAGTGAGGGACCATCACGCTTGTGGTTCCCACTGTACCATCGATGTCTGAAGAAAGCATCGATGAAGAATTCGTGTTCAGCGCGATAGTTTTTCGCGCTGGGGTCAAGGTGATGGATCCTTGACGAATCGAACAATCGTGTTCGATAACGATCACTCGTCGTCGCCGACAAGTGATCCATGACAGATTTAGGAGGCATCCATGCCTTCTTTTCTGGAGCGAGACGCAACACATTGCGGTCCCGCTCTTCCTGCGACGTGCCGACAGAAGTACTGGCACCTCGCTGTGAAGTGGTGTCCATTGGAGAAACGACACCACTATTAGCGCCCGAGTCTCGCGACCTCGAGCGCCTTCGCTTCGGCGATGGTTCATCTGACTCATCAGATGAACCAAAGATGCTGCGACGCAAAGCATCGTCCATGCCACGCTTGGCAGGCGGCTTGGATTCAATCGCCGTCGATACGGATCCGTCATCCGTATCAGGAGAGTACGAGACACCGAGCTCGTACTCTGTGAAGACACGAGTGTCTTCATGACCAGCGCCTGCATCACCAGGTGATACAGGCTGAGTCGATTCAGCAACCGATGGGACATCAGTTGCTGTAGTTTCTGCTTCGGCGTCCGCACAGAGACGTGCAGACGCGCTCTCGGCGGCCTTGCTCGCGCATCGCATGGGCTTGTTTACCATGCGATGAGATGTTGGAAAGTGGACGCGGACCAACAAGTGCAAACCCCGTCCCAAATGATTTGGGACGAGTATCCATTTAGTCAATCAGTCACTAAAGTGACTGATGGTTAAGGGGGGTGATGTAACGGGGTGAATCGTTACATAACAATTTATAAGAAATTGTTAATAGAATATAACTATAAGAGTTATATTCTCAGAATATTGTCATAAGGACAATATTCTGTAGCACTTCCAAGTAGTTCCTAATTGGTTGATATAGGCCATTATATCAACCAACGAAGACGCGCCACGACAGACGCACGCAATGAGTGGTGAGCAGATAACTGATTTACACATTTGTATTTAGACATAGTTAGATGAAGATAAATAGTGATTTATTGCAGACATTAACTATTATAAATACAGTTCTACTTTTTACTCTAACCAAGTACTCGCTTCTTCTTACCGTCTTCCTCTGCACGTACGAGTGTACGTGAAGTTACGAGGCACCGCCTTATTCTGTTATCAGAATAAGTAGCTTGTACTGTCACCAGTACAAGCTTCAGGGTGCCCCGTTACAGTACCACTTCAACTCAGCCAAACCCCTGGTCGAGCCACGATTCGATTAATACACACATGGTCGTCGTCCTTTGACTCCACAAACGATGTCATCAAGCTGCATCAGTATGTATGCAAACTTTGTTGTGCTGCTTTTTTCGCAATGTGATGTACCCAATATTGATTGGATACGCTCAGTAGACTGTCTCACGTAGCTGTCCAGCAAATGAACAGAGCACTGTGATACTATCGTATGCTTGCTTCGGTCGGGGTTAGTGAAAATAGCTCACACTGAGTATTGCAGCGTGAGGCTCATTCTTTGAAAGTGCAGTCTCTAGATCACATGAGCTACTCTGTGTAATTGTGGCATCATCAAGTCTACTTCCTGGACACCAGTGGTGATGTGCTTTTAGGTAGAACAAGGTGCGCCTCACGTGATGCTTCTTGCGGCCTTTTAATTGGCTAGACGTAGTGTTGGGGCTGCCCCATTGGCTTCACACTCAGCCGACGGTGTGCTGGATATTGTGACGAAGGCTTTTTTAGATCTACAACGGGATCGTCTTCGAAACGCTTTTCGGAAACAGAACAACGAGACTGGTTGGGATGCTGCGGTCGACCGGAGCGATTTGCTAAATAGCATAAAGTCACTCCAAAAGACGACTAGCTTTCGACCGTCCTATCACCGGATTACGGTTCTGGGCACATCGTATACCTGCATCTGAAGCTCCCGGTGGTCCTCATGAGTTATACCGGCTCTTTCGATTGCCCAATACATGCACTTGTAGTGTCGCGTGTATACACTATAGGCACTCACTTGTATACACCACAGCGCCACCCGCACACTTCACGGGATGAGCTCATTGTTCAATTTCCAACGATGCTAGCACCTCACGCGTAAGGCTCGACTTTTGGACTGTATCTCAAATCCATTTTAACATCGTACTCATGTGCTTACAGACGGCAGATTGGAGGACTAACGCGCACCCTCGTCAAGCGTGGCTTTCGTTCTGCAAGCTCCGATTCGATTGACAACGTGCCGTATTACGATGTGGTGATCGCTGGTGGAAGTGTCATGGGCCTTTCGACCGCCTACCACCTTGCTGTCGCGGCCCCCAAGCTCAAAATCGCAGTGGTGGAGAAGGACCCTTGCGTACGTCGGTGCTGATCTTTGTTGCATATTCCCTCGTGCCTCTCTTTCATGCAACTCATCATGTCTTGCTGGTGCAGTACAAGTACGCGTCCGCTATTCTATCGGCTGGAGGGATTCGTCATCAGTTCTCCGAGACGGAGAATATCGAGATGAGTCTGTACGGAACCGACTTCCTTCGCAACATTGGCTCAACACTGAAGGTGGACGGACACGACGCTCCGAACGTGCAGTTTGTTGAGGGGGGATACATGTTCCTGGCAAGCGATCGTGGGGTCGATATCCTTCGTGAAAACTACGCCACGCAAAAGGCCGCGGGTGCAGACGTGAACCTTCTGGACCCCGCGGCGCTGAAGAAGCGCTTTCCGTGGATCAGCACTGAGGGTGTCGAACAAGCCGTCTTGGGTGTGAAGGACCAAGGCTGGTTTGATCCTTGGGCATTTCTCAATGCCATGAAGCAGAAGAGTGTGTCGATGGGTGTGGACGTGCTGAAAGGCGAGGTTAAGAGCTTTGATGTTGGTGCACAACACCAGATCGAAAAGGTCCACATCGAGATGCCGAACTCGCCGGAATCCCAAGATACGCACTTGAGTTCTGTACGTGCTGGTGTCGTGGTAAATGCTGCGGGTTGTTGGTCAAGCAAGTTACTCGAGGCTTGCGGTGTCTTTGACTACCCTGTAAAGCCTCGCAAGCGCTCCGTGTTTGCCTTTCACTGTGATGCGGAAGAGATCTGGAAGGGCGACGCTGCAACTCCGCTCGTCGTCGATACAAATGGGGTTTACTTTCGGCGTGAAGGCGCTGGTGGTCGCTTCGTGTGCGGATGGTCACCTGAATCTGAAGATGACTACGACGGACAGACGACAGACGAGCTGGACTTCCCTGATCACGAGTACTTCGAGGAGCAGATTTGGCCGACTATCGCTCACCGCGTCAAGCACTTCGAAGCCGTCAAAGTTCTGAGTGCATGGGCTGGCTACTACGACTACAACACTTTCGATCAGAACGCGATCATCGGTCTGCACCCGGATGTTCCCAACATGTATCTTGTCAACGGCTTCAGCGGTCACGGCCTGCAGCAATCGCCTGCCGCTGGTCGTGCGATTTCAGAGCTGGTCATTCACGGGGAATTCCAGACGATCGATTGCTCGCGCTTCAGCTATGACCGCATTCGTGCCAACGAGCCATTTCTAGAACAGGGAATTGTGTAGAGATATTCTGCCGCAATAGCGATGACGTTTCCACGTGCAGTACTCGCTGTACACAGCTATAAAACGCCAACTATGTCAATGTCGATGACTGCATGATGACGCCTTTGACGTGCTTGCTTCCCGTGGTATGGACCAGGCCGAATTTCGGACATCTTCACTAAGCTCCTGTACTTCTGTAAGACGTGTGTCCAAAGCGTATATAACCTGTTCGTATCCTGCCATCCGTTCTTTCCACAGCCTTGATACTTCCTCAGCGTAGTGCTTCCCCTTTCTCAGGTGCTGAGTGCGGACAAGAAATTGTGCCTCGCGTTCACGAGCCGATCGTTTGTACTGAGCATCCATCGCCTCATGCTTCTGTACGAGATCAGCGAACTTTGTCCTGACCATCCAGAGCTCCTCATTCCTCTCATCCAGATCTTCCTGTGCTTTTCGAGCTACTAACACCGCTGCGTCTCGCTCCTTTACAGCTGCCTCCTCTCGTTTCACGTGCAACTTACACGCGTCTCGCACTCTCTGCAACTCCAACGCAGCTCGATGCTGCTTCGTCTCCAAGCTCCGATCCACCTCTTCCCACGACGTCTGCTCTGCCTCCTTTGACTCATCCATTTTCAGCTGGAGCTCGGACCCTGTCTGCTCCACACCGCTGGACAGCTGCTGCGCCTTCTCCAGCTCGAGATGAAGAGCTGCCACTTTCACCTCATGTTCCCGAGCAAGTTGCTGCCACAGCTCCCGCACGCGCTTAGCGTCACTTTTTACGCGCCGCACGAGCCGTCTCCTGTCCTCCTTGAGCCTCTGAAGCTCTGCCGAAGCCAGCGCGGCCTCGGCCCTCGCAACCTCATTCTTCCCCTGCTCCTCTTTCCACTTTGTCTCCACCGCTTCAAGCTCCGCTGCCAGCGTCGCGCTCTTGCGAGTCGCGGCGTTTCGGTCCACAACTGCCATTTCGTACATCGCGACCTCGTTTGCCAGCTCGTTCTCCGCTTCCCCTTGTCGGTCCAGTGCCTGCCGAGTCGCTAGAGCGCTGTGCTGCTGCATGTGACGCAATTCCCGCTCGCGCAATTGCATCTCGCTCTCTAGAATCGCTTTCGCAGCTCGTTCTTTTGCTAGAAGGCGCGTTAGTTCTTCCACTTGTGCAGACAGTGCATTGCACTCTTGTTGCAGAGGTGGTGGCATATGTTCAAGTGAGCTGTCGGAAGGCGGAGGTGGCGAGGAAGGTGGAGTCAGGCCCGTCATTTTTGAATCCCAGGCGCGTAAATGGTGATTTTTGGAAAGCTGAAAGGCGGGAAATAGTCGCGGGACACTCGACGTGGCTTTTGAGTTGAGCTATGCAGGCGACAATGACGTGCTTGGATTGGGAAATGTGTGTGTTGTGCAGTGCTATTATACTGAAGAATTGTCGACTTTATATTTCGTGTAGGCGCAATAAGGCACGGCTTGTGTTTGTTTTTCACGTTAGTACTTTTCAGTTTTTTAGGGGCTAAGTTCTTGTGAAATGGTCACAAATTTGTTCACCGATGTGCATGGCAACGCAAGACATGTGATCAAAGTACATCATAGCTAAGAGTGGCGATCTCATACTGTCACGAAGCGCTTCAGTTACTATCGCAGCACAACGCGAGTTGGTGCAAAGCAGGCAAATGCAGGGTGCCGACGCATTTTGCTCTATGAGTACATGCTCATGTGCTGTCCATTAGGTGCGCCGTGTCATTCACAACACAAAACCACCAAATGCAGCAGATTCGTTGCCCTCGGTAAGGAATGCTACCATAGTAGGTTTTAGGTTTACGCTCTGACATTGCTTCGTTCGTCTCCATCTCTACATCTAGTATATCCTTAGCCCAAGTTTGATCTCGTTCTCTTAGTAATTGACTTGTAATTCTCCTGACTCTGTCTCTGCTGGAAATGCCCGTCTCAAATTCTAGAACCTCTCATTGTTACCACGAGAAACTACTTCGGGCTCTAAACAGCAGACGAAAAACGGTGGAGACGTTTACTCGCGAAGTGAAGCTATGCAAATTTCATTCTCCACTTCTTTGAGAGTTGCAATCGGAAAAAGATGCATTGACTTCTTACGAGGATGTTGAGCTATCGTCCTGTAGTCGGATACAACAGCTTCTTAAGCCAGAAGAAATCTGTTGACCCGAGACCCTCTAAGCTCGTTAAACTACACGCACGACTCGACAAACTTCTTCTGTGAATGAACTAAGACATTCTGACACAGGGTCGACTAGAGCCATCACAATTAGGTGAAAAGGTAGGAGCAACAAGTGCTCATGAGGAACCGACTGATTGTATCTTTACAATACGCCTACATGACGTGTCAATTATTAAGGGCAAAATACCATCATAAAAATATGCCAACTGACGAGCAATTCCTATACAGGAGGTGTCAACGGAGAAAGCTGTCAAGTGTGACGACGAGATCATGAGTTGACCTGATGACCAAAAAAGTATTCATCGCTTTCTTAGATGGTGCATATGGAGTTTGTTTCTGGCAGTTCAAGGGTCTGTCAAAACTTTCAAGTTTGCTTTCTTGAAGATACAGGCCCGGTCGGCTCCTGCACTTCCCGCTTCTTCGCTACGCCGATATATCAAGCTTTCGCTGTGGTTTGAAAGTAGAATTTTATGCAATCACCGTAATGGCCGCAACGTCGACGCCAAATATACCGCAATTTGTGAGAAAGAGTTGATAGCGTGGGGAGCCCAGGTAAAGTTAGTCGTGGTACAAACGGTTCTGAGTAAAAGCATGAAGCCCACAATGCCTGACGACGTGATGACTGCAGAGAATAAAACCATGATGAAGCATGTGAGCATGGGGCTCTATGATACTGTTGACATTCAGTAGCCACGTAGTTAATTGTACACTGCTAAATCATCATTGTCATATCTTTTGACATATGCATCCTAAAAACAATGCCGAGTGCACTTGCGGCCGTGGCAAAGTACATAATGGGAAGGTACTTGGATTTCGACTTGAAAGCAAGCACATGGCGACATATGTCGAGTCTACACGTAATTGGGCCAGGCTGGCAATACCAAAACTAGCAAAGTACTCATGGAAAGCTGTCATGTCAGGCGGCGATGCATTAGCTGGAAGAGACAAAACCACGGACGATGCTATCACCATTTACGAAAGCCAAGTCATTAGCAGGAGACAAAACACCAGGAGTGGCGGTCTGAAGCAAAGTATTCATGTGAGTGCGGCGTGATGAAGCAGTCAACACGAGGACAAGTAGGGTTTGATTGCATTGGTCATACACCCTGATTTCCACGAGCGCACCGGGCACATCGATATCCGAAAGCACCTCGCGCGTACGAAGATTGAGGATCGTCTGGTGGCACTATATTTTTGCCTTACACAAGCGACGTTTGTCGCCATCCGGAAGACGACAGTGTCCACCGTGCAGATTGACCCCCGCCGACAAAAGTCAGCATCAAGTCACTTATTTGTCGATCTCTTACTCGAAGAGTGCTGCTAACATGCCTCGTGCAACTACTGGATAACGATTGGCAACTCAACCATGAGGAACGATTGAATCAGTAGTTGTCGGAGTCGCAACGACAGTAACGGTCGATGAACGACGGTTGGTTGGTCGTAGAGCGTCTGGTGGAGGAAGCAATTGGATTGCAGACTAGAGACTTTCATGAAATCGGTTCTTTATCCCGCGCTTTTCCTTCCTTGCCTTTGGACATTCACAGCTCAAATCAGCGTGAAAGTTGTTGCTCGCACCCGGGAGTGTAATGATAATGCTTAGGACGTGTTCCAATGCCACGACGATTGTGTAGATGTTTTTGTTGGAGGCACCGCTGCAGATTTACTGTGTACATGCATCTACTATGGGTGCTCTCGGTGGCATCGTTGTTGTAAGCGCCTTCTTGACTGCTTTAGCTCATCATGTAAAAATGCCGCACTGATGGCATATGCCCTGATCGTACGTTCGCTCAGAGGGTGAAGTAGTTCCACCCAAAGGGATTGTAGATAATATTGATCGGGATGCAGCAATCATTTCCCGTGACGCAACTCATGAAATTAGTGAGTTGAGAAGGTCTCAGGTCAAGAAGCTATCGAAATGTGAACGCCACGTGCTGTCGCACGCAATGTCGATGAGTCACATTCATTACGATTGAGGGTGACTTGGCTTCCAAAGCGAGATGCTGCGTCCTATTAGAAAGGTTCTCATAGTATGCATGCTGTGTGCTTCATAGCCGCTTTGCTGTACGCACGAGTGCGCGTTCGTAAATCTCGGCACTATCAAGATAGGGGTAAATTCTACGTGAGATGATCCATCGTAACCACGTACATTGGCTCGTAGATATACGAGTTGGAAGCCGCCTTCAATGAGATGTTTGACAAAGGAATCAACCGTGATCTTCCCAAGGTGCCGGTGATAGTGCAGAAGATGCTGTAGAGATGCATTCCGCTCCATGCAAAAATAGCCATTCTACTCCAAATCGAACATTGCAAACCCTCATCCTAAATACACTGAACAGGTGGTCGCAGGGAAGGCGGAGAACGATCGGCCTAATAGAGGGACTGTTTGACCCTTTCTTACCGGTTTGAATCCCACACGAGCGCAAAAAAACCGACAACTCTGGTCTGATCTTGATCAAAGTAGGGGCATTACCCAATCATTCGGCCACGCGTCAACCGCCATGATCCGCCCGTGGCTGCTGCTAAAAGTGGCAGCATTATGCTCCGTTTCTCCTGTCCCTACCGTCGCTAAGGGACACGACGATCCGTCCTCGCGTTTCGATAAGTTTGCAGACGAGCGCTACGTCCGACAAGATCGCGCTGACCCCGAGCACGTGGTACCGCTGACCATTGGAGTGTTTCCGGGAGACTTTGACGCACTCGAACGAGAGTTCTACGGTGTCTCCGACCCAACGTGCGTGTGATAGAAATGGCTACGTTCGGATATGATGCAGCTGATCGAGCACACTGACACTAGAGCTTTTGTGTGTACTGGATGTAGACAGCCGCAGTACGGCCAGTATCTCGCCCAAGAGCAAGCAGACGTTCTCTCACGTCCAGTTGACGGGGCTCTTGATGCAGTGCGCGATTGGGTTGCAGATTGCTCTCATGGTGAGAATGGGGGGATCTTTATGCCAACGTCGAATCTGTACAAGGTGCCGATGAAGGTGAAGCACATTGAACGACTGCTGAACACGGAGCTTTATCACTACGAAGCGAAAAGAACCGACGCGACATCGCCGATGAAGCGACGGAGGTTGATGCGAGCAACGAGTGCTTTGATGGTGCCAGAACATCTCGAGGATGTCGTGTCGTTTTTGAGCGTCAATACGCATCCACTGGGTCTGCGAGCACTTGGCGCTGCTTCGTCACAACACGTAGCAGCAATGGATGGCGAAAGTGAAGGAGGTACATTGGAAACAATTCGGCGGACGTACGGCATTCCTGATGGACTTGTCGCAACAAATCCAAGCAATACGCAGTGCGTGCCATCTTTCTACAACGAATCGTATGATCCGGAGGATTTAAGCACTTTTTTCAATCAGTTTTTGCCAGGAGAGAGCGTTCCACGTATCACTGAGAAAGGAAGTCGAGGCAACCAGCCTGATCAGGCAAGCACGGAGGCAACACTGGACGTGCAATACCTCACGGGTGTCTGCCGCAATGCTACGACATTTGTTTGGACCATGAATGGCAGTAATCCGTACTCGTCGGAAGATGAACCGTTTGTAGAGTTTGCTGAAGAAGTGCTGGCTCTAGAGAACCCACCTCTCGTCATCTCAACAAGCTACTCCGATGACGAAGAGCACATTTTTGACGTCTCGCCAGGTTACGCGCACACTTTGGATATTCTTCTTATCAAGATGGGGTTGCGTGGAATCACGGTGCTTATCGCCAGTGGTGACGACGGGGTGACTGGACTACGCCCTGAGTTTATGAAGATACCTGTCGAGAACATGTGCAGGCAAAGTGGTCCGCAGTGGCCGTCGTCGAGTCCATACATCACTACGGTCGGTGCCACAATGCTTTTGACGGGAGTACGCGAAGCGGAAAAGCCGTTTTATCGCACAAAGGAGGAAGTGATTTGCAGTGTTGAGAACGGCGGCATCATTACATCCGGTGGCGGGTTCTCCAGCATTTACTCGATGCCGGATTACCAGCGCACAGCGGTCGAGAGATACTTGACAACTCGAGATGTTCCGGCCGCTCCAGGGTTTTTCAATGCTAGTGGACGTGCCTATCCAGATGTGTCAGCGCTAGGCGAAGGATTCTTAGTGTACATGAGTGGTCACCTCACTTCGGTATCTGGAACTTCAGCGTCAACACCTGTGATGGGCGCGATGGTGACGCTATGGAACGATGCGCGGCTGAATGCTGGTAAAAGCCCGCTAGGATTTATCAATCCTCTCCTCTACTACCTTGCAGAGACCCATGTCGATGCATTTCACGACGTGGTTGTGGGAAATAATGGAGCCGCACGTGGAAAAACTGATCCGTGCGAGAACGCGTTCAGCGCTGCTGGTGGGTGGGATGCAGTTTCTGGAGTGGGCACGCCTAACTTTTCCGTGATTCTCGAGTTCATTACAAACCTCGAAGACCACTTCAACGTATCGCAACTGCGCAGCTCAAGTAATGCCGACGTGCCTGATACGAGCAACAACTCAGTGATTCCGACGACAGTGTTTGCCGGAAAGAGCGTGTTCATGATGGTGCTGCTGGTAGCAGTAGTGGTTGCAAACGTGGCCATCAGCATTGTAGTGGTCGTCACCCTGGTAAAGCGGTGGAGGCACCAGTATACCCCTCTCGCCAATGTTGCCGTGACTAGCAACAACCCCACCGTTTCCGCTTCAGGTAGTTCCTCCGTAGCAATTCGCCACACGAAAGGGGACTTGGATGCTGATAGTAGTGAGGATGATGCCGAGCTGAGTGAGATCAGTTTGAATCCATGACAGCACAGCCGTCTTATCGATACGTAAATGTGCCTGTTTTGTTGTAGTGCACCTCGAAGGATCTGATCGTGGCTTACATGAAAGTCGAGATGCACTTACACTGCATGAATTAGCAATGTCAATAAGCAGTAACCTGCTGTCCGTGTCGTGATCAATGATAAGCGTGTGCGTGTCCTGAGTTTAGCAATAATTCACGCTCCTCTCCTGTTGTAGCTTGAGGTAAAATACAAGTCACTTGTCGATCGCAGTAAACAACACCACACACAGGCAGTCAATTCCGCTTGTGAGCGTGCACTTGATGTCATCGGATCTCGACTCTGGCAAGAAGATGCGACAGACGGATGTTTTACCAATGCCGGGCTAGACAAAACCGTCAAGTCAAATAGTGCGCGAGAATCTCCACCAAAATTAACTGATTCCGCTATCGGAAAGAGAGGCAGACATTCTTCTTGGAGGACGCTATTGTCGTAGATTTCCCCCACCCCGATAAACTAGAGACCCGAGTCCAGCACGGCGACACAATAGCCTGGTGTTTTCATGAAGGTGCCTGGGCAAATCTCCAGGCTATGCAGAGATGGCTGGAAGTCGCGGTGTACGATGCATACCCAAGTTGACGTTGTTGGCAGCTGAGAAGCCAAGTGCAAGGAGCACACACTGGCGTTTTCACCGTCAGGGTCCACGGTCTCGTCCAGATGAAGTGCACGAAAACGACCAGTGAGTGCAGCACAGTCCCCTGACTGCAAGCTTCGACGTCCCCTTCAACAGACGTTGAGCAACAACAGTCGCTTACGATCATAACAATAATGTGGGGAAACTTGTGGCCGAGGAGAACCATGTGCCTGGTCCAGTCCCCTCTGCGGTGGCGACTTCCACACCTTCATTGACCGCTGCCGTCTCAGTCCACCACAATCGCTATAGTTACTTCTTCTGGGTCATTATGCCGCGATCAACGAAGCGCAGAAGGAACCAGCTTTGAATGTGCCCACGAGAGGGGTCAATCAGAGGGTCGAGTAACATGTAAACCTGCCATTATTCTAGGCGTTCTCCTCAACGAAGGCTGCGACACCTTGTTCGGCGCTTTTCGGGGAACAGTCTTCATCCGAAATGTGTAACCATTCGACAACGCTTCTGGATACCAGCAGTTGCTTACCGCTTCCTAGTTGCTCTTCTCTCCTCCTCACTGTTTACAGTGTCTGGACCAACTACTGGTGAACAAACCCAAGCTGGCCACTGGAATGGAGACGCATCACCGAGTGTAGCCATGACGTCTCTGGACGAGGTTCCATGTGATAGCGAGCAAACGTGCAGTGATTATTATTGAAATCTGCCTGCGTATTCATCCTACGCAAAGCTTAAACTCTAGCGCATCTAGTAAGTCCTCTAGTTCCTAACAGTTTTCGGTCGAGCTTCAGTGCACGGGTGACGATGACGTCGCAAAGCCACCACAACCAGCAGATCGTCGACCAGCGCTCCCTTGTACAGGCAAGCCGCGCAGCTCCGCCAACTGCTCTCGGGACAGCCGCAAGTCGAGATTGTTCTCCCAGCCGCACATTTGCTCAAACGAGTCGAACGTGAGCTCCACCTGCTGCAGCACTTCCTCGGCGTTCGGGTGCTCGACAAACTTGAGCGTCTTGGCGAACGTGCGACACACGCTCTCGACTGCGGCAAAGCACGCGTCTCGTTCCGCCATCGAGTCGCCCACCGAGAGGAAATTGAAGTAGCCATCTTGCAAAACAGGCGGAGCAGGCGTCGTCCTTGTCGCAGCTTCTCTGTGCGTCCAGCCGCGGCCCTTCCCGCTCGTCTCCTGAGCAGCGGCAGCAGCAAAGCACTGGCGCGCAATGAGCTGCATGACCTCCTGTTTCCACGTCGCCGAGTCGCCCCCAGAGCCGAACGTCTGCTCGTACCAGCTCCGAGCCGAGACAATGTGCACGTCCGCTAGCGCGAGCACGCGCTGCACGTCCGGCAAATAGAGCGCCGCGGACATCTCGACCCAGCCGAACTCGGCGGCAGTCACGACGAACACGGGGCCGTAGGCCACCGCCTTCTGCAAGAGCCGTGCGACATGTGCACCAATGCGCCTCAGCACGTCCCGCTGGGCCGGCGTCACGGAGATCCGATGGCCGCGGTACTTGGGCAGCAAGTCCTGCGTGTGGAGCCACGAGCTGGGGCAGAGCGTGTCGTCCCAGTCAAAGACCACGACGGTGCGGTCGGTGACGCTGCTGCTGCTGCTGGGGGGACAAGCGACAGGGCGGCGCGTGGAGTGGGCGGTGGTCGTGGTGGTGGGTGCAAAAGGCGACACGGACGGCGGCAGAGGCCGCAGCGTCTCGACTGCGGAGTAGGAGGCGAACGCCATGTCAGACGTGAGTGGGCTCTGGCTCGGAAATTCGACTGTGAGTCAGAGCGCGGGCAGTCAGTCGGTCGCTCGTGGGCCGTGGGGAGAGGGGGCGACAGAGACGAGTCACGGACGCACAGAACCAGGCCTTACGACCATACACAGTGCGAGTAATCGAGCAAGAGAAAAGACCGGCCGACTGGAGTCTGGCAGTGGTCGACGACAGGAGCACGGATGGGTCCAATGAGGCACTTGGTCGTCTGTACTGACATCGTAGTGGCTCGTGTGTCTTGCTTGCTGAGCACGACGGTACTTGCTAAGCACTGAATTGATATGGTAGGTTGACATGGACACAAGTCGCTGCTGTTTTGACTAAGGTCCATAGTGCGTGCAGCGTCAGTTATCAGCCCGTGTGTCTTCAACACCAAGTGTCCGCACAGGAACACAACTCCACTTCACACAGCAATCAAGAGCTTGATCTTCGACTTTTGTCTGAAGGGGCAGAACAAGAACCAGAATCCGGAGCGAAACAGTAACGCGCCATTGACGCCGAAACGACTCGACGACTGACGTGCACCCAAATTTTTGGCGGCTGGGAGCCCGCGTCGCTCTGGGAGAGGGTTCTTGTCGGCGATGCTTGCCGTCATCATCACCGTCACATCACAGGACCGAAACCCGAACCTCCCCGACACGATTGGGACGCGTGTGCCGCACAAGAGAGCGCTGACCCGAACAGATGGGACTAGGGTCCGTGTTCACCTGTCGGCAGAAACTTTGCTGCCATCTCAGTTGGACGCACCTGAGCGTGTAATGGATGTGCGCACAGTGCGTCGTCCTCCGGCAACTACAACCAGTCACGAAAAAACAGAGTTCTGCGAGCTGACGACGTCTCCTCGTGTGAAACAGCATACCCGCGCCTTGCGTCTGGCAGATGTCGCGCAGGATAGACGTGGCGGGTATTCAGTGTCTCTGCGACCCCGATCAGATCCTCGTTGCTCCCATTTTATCTCCGTGCGATGCGCTGCTGCTTCACAAGCACGCGATCGTGCGATCCTGCGGTAGTTGACGCGTCTGATGACGAACTAGTGTCCATATGCTCAGCCTCATGGTGGCATCAATCAATCAGGACCTCAGTCTGAGTTCATCGTGGTCCTGATTTGAGCTTCTGTGGTCCAATCCACAATTGGTCACCGAAGATCTGCGTGTCAAACTTGCTCGGAATCCCCGGCAATCGTGAAAGTTGCGACTACGAGCAAGCCCGAATTGATTGGGAGACGATTTGGCTCGGATGATCTGACTCATGAGCGGCCATTGCAGGACTTAGCGGTAAGAGAGAAATGTCAGGTGCGGGCAGAATAAAGACACTCGCTGAAGTAGTTGAAAGGTTGCTCGTCCACTCGATAGTCTTTTTCCAGTACTCTCGAGCACTTGCATGTAGAATACAACGAGCGCGCGAGAAGGGACTACTCTGCGACGTTCGTCATTCTTGGTCTTTTCCCACACTACAACAATACGAGCGCTCTGTACAAGTTGCCCCCGTGTCAATCGCAGTATTGTCTTTCTTTTTCCGCTGACCATTATCAATCGTAGCGTTTGCAATATCACTGGCCGATGGTGTCTTGCGTACCTCGAAACCGTTCAAGTTCGTTTTTGCACGCGATAGTCACCATTGGCAGTCACCCCGTCGTTGCCCGAGCTTGTTTCGTCATTATTGGCTTGCCTTCACCAAATTGCGAATCGCGTCGAGACCAATTATTATAGTCGTAAATATAGCTGCAATAATCGAATTGTTTAATTATAATATTGTATAATTGATTGATGATGTGCATCTTGGTTGTACTAAAATAATAATTCGACGCAGCTATCATCTTTTGTAATCTATTCTCAATGGAGATCTTATTCGCTGATTAGAGCAGCCTGGTTGTAAAGCCGTCTGAGTTCTCCAGTTCTCCCTCCGAGAATTTCTCCTCTATACGATTGTAGCCTCCTCCAGAAATATGTCAGTTTTGGCGTCACCAAACTTGAACGATGCTCGCCAACCTGTTAGCATAGCTACATGGAGCAATACGCCTTAGTGGATCGAAACTTTTCCCAATCAGGCAATTCCATCGTGGAAGACGATGCGTACCAAACACTATCATTGCTCCCATGTTTTATCGGGTAAAGCCTCCCCAATCCATGTATCTAGAATCAATCAGATTTGCTATGCACATCAGCGATATCGACAAGCAAATTTGGACCTGATGTTCGAGAGTGGGTTCCAGCTCCTGGTAAAGCTTTTCCTTGACTCCTGAAGCTCCTACGACACGTTTTGTTCCTCTCCATTTCCATAGCAGTTAGAGATCTAAATGGCTTAACATACAGTCTCATGTTCGTGTAATTGAAGCAACTGACAATGGGTGGTGGAAGAGATCTCGGTCCAGGTGGACATCAACCATCAAAAGGAGTAAGTCCGTCGTCATTCTACATCGGTATCAAGCCTTAAATGGTAGTTAGTCCGTCGACATCGCAGACGCCGCTAGCATCTCCACGCGCGTCACAATCGATCGCATTATGCAGATGGCGGTAGAGCCGCTATGTGCCGCGACGATGTCACACTAATCGGCTGGATCATGGCCGTCATTCTCGGTAAATGAGGCTGAATCTTGGCATCGGCAAGCTAAAAGTCATGCATTGAATGCGATTGAGCACTGTCACGCCTTAGAAGACGCTTGATTGCTGCCTAATTATACCTTCGCAACAATCGTATCGTATTTACAAGAGTTGAGATGTATCTTCCGCGTTTGGGGACGTACACAACCAATGCTGCAGTCCGGAAGTAAAGTACTTGTTGACATTCTGAAGACCAACAATCCTGGTTTCCAGTTGGTTCCGTGTTTATCCGCGCGGTGTGGTGGGGACGTTCTTTTGTTCGCAACAGTCTCATTTCTTTTCAATCAGGTTCAATATTTGCCGAATGTACATTGCCACAGCGTACATTTAAGCTCAAACCTTCACTACGTTGATTGAAATCTCCGTTCGTCGGAGATTTGAAGATTTTGTTCCCGTCGACAAGTTTTGGGACGTCGATCCCAAAACTTGTCGACGGGAGCAAAATCTTCATCAACTAAAACAGAAATGGTCTGTCAAGTGCAGCTGGCAGGTCGTAAAAATATCGGATGAGCTGCTAAAACCCGTCATCGTATTGGGATACTCAAAGTTGGCAACCGAATAGCTGCACAAGACGTCGAGGGGTACGCGCTTGTATGTATACTGAGAGAGGAGGCGGGACTTGTGAAAGATGACACCACCACTGCTTTCGCTGCGTAAAGAATCGGCAAAGGTGAACAAGATAAAAGCTGAAACAGTTTGCATGTTTAACATGTACCGGAGGCGTGCAGCAAAAGCAGTGTAAGGTCTGAGCACATTTGTAAATAAATGAGTGAGGGCGACGGTCCACGCGAAGTTTTTTGAAGCATTGCAGACCTTATTTGCGGGACATTCGACATTTGACCAGGCCAACGTACCCGGCGCTACACACCTTATTCGTCATCACGGTTTCATTTTCGGTCGCACAATGCACTTTTCAATGACCAATGCTCCAATCGGAGATCACGTCATGATCGGGAGTAAGCTCAATAGCGGAACGCTATCAGAGCTGAAAAGCCGATTGGATTGACGTCCGCTGGCCATGCATGAGCTGGAGCCGAAATTGCAGATTTGTTTGTCCAGAATAAACTAGAAATGACGGTTTTCGTCGATGGGGAGCTGATGTAACTGTGCACGGATCCAGTACTGTTGACAAGTTCAGAAAGCGTGACCGCAATACGATGTGTACTTTAGGCCTTGTTATAACCTCCATCGTCGGTCTGGCACCTACTCAACTCCCACGTACGAGCTTGTCCGCCTCGACAGCTACACACTTGCTCCACCTAGTCTCATGTGAACGTTATTCCAACATGAACAAAAAGTCCCTACCTCATCATCATCTGACCACGATAACGACCGGCACTGGCATAGATGCAGCTTCGCCTCCGTATGCCAGCAGTCAGCTAATGATCACCTTCGACCTTGTCGTCATTCGACCTATTGCTGCGCTGGTTACCAGCGTCGTTTGTGTCCGACCTGAAGAAAGACCGCTTACTTTCACGACCCCATGGAGATCTCTGGTGGCCAGACGACTTGTCACGAGAAACGCGAGAGCCTGCTGGAGCACGTTCTCCGCCCGAGGGTGCATCGCGATGGTTGCCCTCGTTCTTGTCTGAGCGCCACAGCGTCGTGTTGCGGAAGCTAGAGTTGTCATTCAGTGACGTGTCGTGACGTTTGTACTCCAGTGCCACAAACTGTGGCAGATTCAGCACCTTCCGCATCGTATCACTGTCGAACGCGGAGCCACCCATCAACAAGTTGTGTTAGTACTTGTCCACGTGTCTTCACTAACGTGGTCGTACCGAATACGGTGACACGCCTCGTTGTTGTCGGCATTGCGGTTCCAAAGTGAGATAATGTCTTCGTTGTATCGCACCGAAATCACAGCGCCACAGATTTCGTTACCCACGTCAAATTGTTCGCCAATGATTGCCAGCACCTATATTTGATGAAGTCCTGTCACCATCAGCAAGTAAAATGTAGGAGTAAAACTGCGTTGCAAATAACACGCACCAGATCTTCCCAATAACGAGACGCGATTCCCTTGCGAAGGCGCACCATCCACTTGCCGCCTCGTCGGTTGGCTGCGTCCTCCCACATGGGCTTGATGCCGGTCTTAAACAAGTGGTAGTCCATAGTATTCGGGAGGTCATTCGGCCTCACCAAGTGGTTATAGATCTTCCAAAAGTCTTGCACCTGCACACAAAGGTATAAGGTGACCAAAGCCACACACACACACCAATGATTGCATATTGTAGCAAGCACTGACCGTCTTAAAGTTACCAAGTGCCTTGATGCTCTTCTCATAGCTCTCCTGCACAATGACAAGCAAATCACCATTTGTACGTGTAAAAGTGAGTATTGTTATATTGCAATACCAACAATATCGAAGACACAAAACTCACGCTAACAGCCTTATTGCCAGTGTTCCGCTTGATGTACCAGAAGCTGTACGTGTTCTGAATTGGCAACTCCGTTGCCCCCTTCTCGGTCATCTTCCCCTCATCTAACAATATGACAATACACCCACCAATAATTTAGATGAATATGTCCAGATCACGTCTGATGCAGCCGCTCGACTCAGCACTCTTGTCATTGCGGAAGCTCTTCTCCAATCGTACGTAAACTAATGATACGAGATTACAACCACTAGGGTTGCAAAACGGACTATAGGAAGTGCACGTACCGCTTTGCTTGTCTTCTCCCATGACGTCGCGAGTCTCGTTGAATTGTTTGACTTTATTGATTTTGGTGCCACAATGGTGTGGTGCTACGCGTCGCACATAAACATTTCCTACCTGACGACAATTTATCACTGAGGTTTTTTACCACGTCACAGCACCCGAGTCGACGACGAGTTCGAGCAACATCCTGTTGACGACGGTCCCTCCATCGTTTGTTTACCAAGACTCTGAAAGTGGAAATCAAATCGAGAAGATTCTGTCAAATGATACAAAGCAGCGAGTCGAAAGCTGGAACGCGGAGATGAAAACCATCATAACATAATTAAATTCACAATGCCCCAGTCATTGCCGGCGACATCGAAGTTCATGAGGGAAGAGAATACAAGATCGTAAACTTGTAGGAGGATGCAGTAGCAATTTGTGTTGCTAGACGAACCTTGTAGGCTCTGAACATGGTGAGTAATTTCCAAGACGATGAATGGATCAGGCATGAAGTCTGCAGAACTCGTCTGGATGAGTCGCTCAGGGGGACTGACATGCTGCGAGGCCCTCACTACTGCTTGAGGCTTCAGTTGTATTGAACCGCTGAAACTTACGCGTGATCACAGGTGTCATTCTAGGCCCATATTGAGCGCATTCCAAGCCTTGCGTGGACTCAGCTTTCACTCGTACATTCTCTGGGGACTCTAGTAAATTCACCGCCGCACCTTTCGTCTATTTTTGCTGCAATGGTGTTGTTGGCAGATTAGCTTCGACGGTAAGCAGTTCGCTGTTAATCGAGTTGTCATCGGCTTTCGGAACCATGAAGAGTGCAGAGTCTGATAAAAATCAAGGCGTGCAGTGCAGTGCCTTACTACGAGTACGTGATATGCCAAGTTTAACTCGCATCGGTGGCAATGATATGCTCGTATAAGCTGTTAAAGCGTGAAGACGCTTCTGTCCTGCAGAGCACGAGACGATGCATGTGAAGTTGATTGAATCAACTTGAAGCTCTCAGAAAGTGATGTTACAGTCTCCACAAGCAGCTAAAGTTATCTGTTTGAGTACTTACGCCTCACCGTGCACACGAGTGCAAAGTAAAGCTGACATGGCTGATGCAGGAGATCAAGAAGCTACATGTACTGCGTAAACGAGCAAGCAAGCGTCTACCAGCCACGGCAATAGCTGCTATTGCAGCGTTGTCGCACGATCAGCGAACAAAGTAGCAGTTCAATGAGCCGAAGTTTACATTGACAAGCTCTGTCTCGGATAGTTTCATCGTACGGCCGTAGCAGTCATGAGCGCTGACATATCCTCGTTTCGATCTTCACTAGCTGCACTGTAAAGACAGAGCACGTTCGACACTCGAGGAGACCTACAAAATCACAAAGTCATGCTATCCGTCGACAACAGACAATAGAGATGTCTAGTGGTGTGAACGAAGCAACAACAGGCGGAAGCATTTTGTTGGCATAACATCCATTGGAGCGTTCGGTTAAATAGCAAAAGCATGGCAGAGACCACAGCCCTCCTAGTCTCCTGCACCACCCAAGTCTCCCAACAAACGAGCTCCTTGTGCAAAGTGTACCGATCTGTCGTTGTCTCGGAGCTTCTCGTGCATACCGGAGCCTTTTGTCGATCCATTCGACCCGACGCTTGGTCCCTCACCTCCCTTGGTCTCCCAAGGGTCTGCATCCAAACTCAATGTAATAACCTTACGTCATGGAATCAATGAGCGCACTGCGCATGGTCGTCGCAATGGAAGCCGGCTGGGCGTTCTGAAGCTTAAAGATGCTCTCGACCACCGAGATCTCAGTGGACGTGGTGTCCAGCCCGCAGAACGCTGTCCAGTCGTTCACCACGAGACCGGCACCAATGACGTCACTGCCACGGTTCACTGTACCAGCCACGACGGGCACCTGCAGTAGAGAGCTGAGCTCTTCCTGGTCCTCGACGCTCGTGCGGGGGTGGACGAGACAGCCCTGATTGGACAGAGCACTGTAGCTCCCCACGAGGGCATTGCCCGCCACGGTCTGGCGAAAGACCTCGACCCCGAGCGTGTCCGCCACAATCTCCTCCGTCTCCCGGTCCAAGTCCGTGTGCACGAGCGCCACGTGGTCGTTCGTCGCAATGCAGTTGCCCAGAGCCGAGAGTCGCTCCTCCACGCGCTGCACCGCGACCGAGTCGGGCAGCGCATTCCGGATGTGCTGCATCTCCTGGTCCGTGGTCGTGCTGGGCAGCAACAGACCGCGCTTGTTGCCTACCGCCACGCGGCCCACGAAGCGGCAGCCAGCGACGCTCGCGTGCACCACGGGGATGTGGTCGGCGAGCTCCGACTCGAACGTGCTGTAAAAGTTCTCGGACCCGCCGACACAGACGAGGCAGTACGAGTTCGTGAGCTTGGAGAACACGCCGATCTCGTTGCTGTTTTCGAATTGGCAGCGGGTGGCCATGTTAGAGGGCGGCGGACGTGGAGGCGAAGCCTGAAGGAGACAAAGTGACTGGAGCGAGGCTCTGGAATCGCCGAATGGACCGAGCCAAGCCAGTAAAAAGGTTGAGGATTTTTCAGATCGCACTTAGTCGTGAGGAAGGAGAAAAGTAGATAACACACAGCGACTGGACCCGCCGTTCCGATGGAATCGAAAAGATTGTTCCGCGAATGAGGAACGAGAACGAGGCGGTTGTTGTCGACGAACAGAGCGATAGTGGATGAGGAAATTGTTTATTCACTAACTTTTAGCGATAGTGGATGAGGAAATTGTTTATTTACTAACTTTTAGCGATAGTGGATGAGGAGGGTATGGTTTGATACGGTATTACACTATCGCGATAGCATGCGCTGGTAGATCCATCGAGTACTCAGGAGTAGGTAAGCAGCACGAACATCATGGACGGTAATGTGTTCAAATTAATGCTCGATAGTAAAAAGGATTCTGTTATTACGTTTTAGCCTACCAGTAAACTGTTCAAACTTGTAAACTTCCTCACCAATCAATCGGTTGGTTGCAGTGCAACACCCAGGTTGACCAGTCAGAAAAGACAGGCAGTGTCGTCAGTCGTATCTCGGCCCGTCCTTGCCCATGTGCATATCTTCCTTCAACACTCCTCCTCGACTGCGGCACCACCATAATCCCCTTCTTTTCCTCGAGTCCTGCCTCTACCCGAGGCTCATCAACTCGCACAGCGACGCAAGCTTGGCCGCATCCAGGGCCTTCGTCATTAGGTCAGCAACCTGGGCTTCAGACCTGACGTACTGCGCCTGGATAATCTCGCGTCTTGAGTAGTCCCGCACAAACTTGAGCCGCACATCGATGTGCTTGGCTTTCAAGGAAGACGCCTCGCCATCCAGCTGCTTGATAGCGGCTTGATTATCGATGTATAGCGTCATCGGCAGTCCGGGTGGCATCCCAATTTCGCGCAGCATCTCTCGGATCCCAAGTAACTCGCGCGTTTGCTCCGAAGCTGCAACAAATTCGGCTTCCATGGTGGATAAAGAGACGCCGCCTTGTTTCTTGGCCGTCCAACTCACCGCCATGCCGTTCAAGAAGATGACCCCGCCCGTCAACGACTTCCGGTCCAGCTTATCAGCAGCGAAGTCCGCGTCTAAGTACGACTCTAAGTTCACTGTCTCGCGCGCGCTCGACGCCGGTGTCATCCGTAGCTTGAAGCTGCAGGTACCCTTCAAGTACCTCGCGATGCGTTTCGCGAGCTTGTAATCATGGACTCGCGGCTGGTGCGTCTGGCGCGTCGCCTTGTGGACGGCAAATGCAATGTCTGACCGCGTACATCTCGACACCCAGAGAAGACTACCGACGAGCGATTGGAAGCTTCGAATGCTTGGAGCTCCTCCTTCTGCATTAACAAGCAGAGCGCTGTCTGTCGTCGGGATCTCGTAACAATCTGCACCGATGGGGGTCCGCGTTGAGTTTGCATCTTCGAGACCATGATCTTTTAGGATGTCGTTAATTGCAACTTCTTGATCGATAACATATCCTCCGTCATTGCCAACCTCCACTCGCATTCCTAGGAACTTGTTGACTGCTCCTAGGTCCTTGATAGACAGACTGCCTAGACTCGCGAAGAAACGATCGACTGCTGCCGCGTCCGTACCAGTAGCTAGCAAGTCATCAACGTAGATCCCGACAATCACGAGGTCTCTCCCATCCTTCTTCCAGTATAAAAACATATCCGACACGCACTGCTAGAAACCAACGTCAATAAGCCGTGCATGTAATAATTGGCTCCAGAGCCTCCCGGCCTGTTTAAGGCCGTACAAACTCTTGCGAAGCTGTAACGCCAGTTCACTCACGCTCGATGCCCCCAGTGACTTGATAGTATCACTGCTCACGTCCATTCCTCTTGGTACTTGTAAAAGTATCTCCAAATCAGCCTCTTTGTCAGCCTTTACGTAGGCGTTAGGGATATCGCCATGCTTTGCGACGACTCCCCACGTAACTGCAAGAGCCAATATTATCTTCACCGTGGACATGTCCATCACGGCAGCAAATGTGAGGACATAGTCAACTCCAAACACTTGCTCATTGCCGCACGCCACAAGTCGCGCTTTAAGGCGTTCGACATCCCCATCAGCAGTCATCTTTGTCTTGTACACCCACTTCGTGTGGAGTGCATTGCTGCTGCTCGGACGCTTGATAAGATGACAAACGTCGTTGTTCTCGAGCGCTTCCAATTCTTCACACATCGCCTTCTTCCAGTCCTCGCTTTTAGAACTTCGCATTGCTTCGCCGTAGTTCTTCGGATCACGCTCGTACACATGGTTTACGATGCTCGTATTACTCGCTGGCTCCTCCTGACCCGCGAATTCCTGAGCTCGCTTCGACGCACCACGCGTGCCGTGTGACGAGCGGGTCCATGAATTCTTTTTCGATCGTCCGCTACGCACAGTCAATTTCCCATTCTTCTTCTGCTTTGATGAGATCGCTAGTGACGCCATCGACAACGCAGACGATTCTGCACTCCTGGAAACAGCTGTTCCGGCTTGATCTTCGTATTCCAGTGCGCGCTGAAGCTGTTCATTTTGCTAGTCACTGAGCGTCGCGATGTTTTTCACATGCTGCGTGACGACCACGATGTTATCCTTTTGCAAAAAAACTCGATAGCCTTTAGTTTCGTCGCTCCTCCCGACGATAATGCCAACTTGTGCTCGTTGTGCGAGCGAGTTCTTGCGAGGGTCTCGATAGACCGTGCAACTTGAGCCGAATACCACTATGTTGCGCAAGTCGGGGACAACCTTCGTGAGAACCTGTATTGGCGACGCGCGTCGCAGGTTTGCGCTTGTAGGACTCCTGTTCAAGATGTACGCCGCGTATTCGACGGCATCTCCCCAAAATGTCAAGGGCAGGCGGCTTGCAAAGATCATGGACCGAGCCATATTGAGAACGGTCCGATGCATCCGCTCCGCCTTGCCGTTCGAAGCTTGATTTCTTGCGTCTGAGACTTGACGGGCTACTCCAGTGCGCTTGCAGAATAAGTCCACATTCTGGTACTCCCCGCCGCCGTCCGTACGTAGCACGTGAATACGACAATTAAATCGCTTTTCAAAAAACACCAAAAAGTGTTCAAACTTCTTCGCTGCTTGATCCTTAGTCGGGGCCAGAAACACGCGGCAGTAATTCGACTTGTAATCGATAAAATTCACGAGATATCTGTTTCCATGTCGGTCCTTGGGCGTCATAGGTCCCTTTAGATCCGAGCAGATAACTCCACCAATCCTGTCGATTGGTGCATTCACGCCGGTGTCCTTTTGCGATTGAGAATTTTTCGTCTGCTTTCCTTCAGCACATGACAAACACGTGAGTCTTCGCCGATCCGTGAGTTTGATCCCTGACGCAGGATCCTTCGCCATTCTTTCCACCGTGTCGAAAGAAAGGTGTCCGAGTTGCTGGTGAAAATGCATGAGCGTGCCGCTTTGCACTCCCAACGATGACTCAGCCGCTCCTTCTTCAGCCAGTATTGCCATTAGTACATCACTTGGCATGCTCCTTAAGTGCGAAGTTTCCACAGTCTTAACGTAAAGTACGTTATTCTCCATAGTCAAATCGAAAGCCACTTCCCCATTACTGCGATTGGCGAGCGAGCGCGTCGCGCCATCGTATACCAATCCAAAACACTTGAGCTCGAGTTTTCCATATGAGACAATGTTGCGCTCGAGTTCAGTCGCAAGGTACACTTCGGTAAGCTTGACCGTCCGCTCCTTGCCACCTGCCATAACGCATAAACGGACGCTACCGACTCTTGACAGGGATAGTGTTTCTCCATCCGCCATGTTGCACTGATAGTTGCAGTCTTGTGCATCCAGCAACAGGCTCTCATCCTTCACGAGGTGACGACTTGAACCACTATCCAAGATCCACTCATCATGCTCGTCCTTCGCATCTTTTCCAGCATAACCAAAACGCGTGTTCTTCTTCTTGATTCCACGATCGTTGATCGCCAAAACGAGGTCTGCGCCATGTTTTCCACGACGACCATCGTAATTACTACGGCCTTTGCTTCGACAGTTGGCCTTGATGTGACCGGCCTTTCCGCACCCAAAGCACGTGCGTGTCTCCCTCTTTGTTGAGACCTCGTCCACGAGCGCAACAACATCTCGTCCTAGTGCCCGGCCCTTACGCGACTCCAGCTCTACAGACTGCGCGAAGTGGGCGAGCTCCTCAGCTTGACGCAAAAAATCCACTCTTGAGTTATCGTACTTAGCCATAAGCACCGTACTTAGTTCCGTCGACGCATAATGCACGATATTATCCAACACCTGTTGGTCCGCGCCACCACACGCGTCGCTGACAGCTACCAAGTAAAGGTAATGCTCCGGCCAACTTCTCTTGGGGTCTTTACGCGCCGTGAAGAGCTGGATTGACTGCGAAGCCGTGATTGTGGTCTTAAAAGTCTGATGGAGCCTTTCCATGACATGATCCAGCGTCGGTAGTTGCGTCCACCACAACTCCAGCTGCTTGTTATAATAGCGCTCCGCGGTTACGCTCAAGTAGTGTCCAAGTAAGTCAGCTTTAACTTCCTCGGACCATGCGAATCCGCACGCATGCTGGGCCATCGTAACTTGCCGGAGAAATGTTCTCCCCCAATCAAGAAAACCGGAGCCAAGTCCATGGTATAGCTCACTGCCGTCAAACTTCCTGATCGCCAGCTTTCGTTGACGTGCGTCCGGCACGCGATGCGTAGGGCATGGCACTTGCTGGGCTTGTTGAGGCATCTGTTGCGGTGGGTAGCCTTGCCGTAAGTCCGGCGCCGCATACTGCGGTCCGAGCGGTTCAACGTGGGCGCCTTGAGCCGGTGACACTCTCGGGTGCTGCCTTGGCTGGTCATGCGCTTGATACACAGCTTGTCGTCTCGGCGGCGAGTTGCCAAGAGCGTCCAGGTGCATCGGTCCAGCGTTGCCTATGTTGCGGCCAAGCAGAGAGCTGAAGAGCCCACTCTCGATTGCACCTCGAAGTCGCTCGTTCTCGTCCATCTGCATCTGGGACGCTTCCATGCGCTCCATGCGACCTTCGAGTCCCATGAGCATCTTGAGGATCCTCTCGTTCACGTCCGCGCCCCTTTCGTGGGTTGGCGGGTCGACGACTTCGGCAGGCGGCGTCACGGTCCTTTCGCGACCTGTGATTGGCGGCGCCTGTGCCGCGTCGTCGGAGCTGTCATTTGGGCTCATAACCTGTTCAAATTAATGCTCGATAGTAAAAAGGATTCTGTTATTACGTTTTAGCCTACCAGTAAACTGTTCAAACTTGTAAACTTCCTCACCAATCAATCGGTTGGTTGCAGTGCAACACCCAGGTTGACCAGTCAGAAAAGACAGGCAGTGTCGTCAGTCGTATCTCGGCCCGTCCTTGCCCATGTGCAAATCTTCCTTCAACATAATGGTCTTTCCTCGGCAGCCATTATTAGTCGACTTCTACATGAGATAATGTGTCAACGAAAACGCATGGCGGTTACAGACGGAAGGGGAGCATGAGTTCTGCATTGTGATCGATTTGGTCTTCACGCAGTCGGTCTGCAGGTTAGTCCGATGGCGGGAAACTTTGCACATCGCTAGCTTTCGCTACTAGGCTCGAGAAAATTGCTCGGAGTATGTCGCAACGAAAGCCGGTGACAAGTGGATACCAGTGTGGCTTAGAGCTTACATATTCTGACCACCTCGAGGATGATACGGCACTTTGCTCATCAAGGTGCCGCTCATTTACAGAACAAAGTGTCGATAGTCTACAGCAATAGTCGCCTTTTTCCGGACAAAGGATGTCGACTCTATCCTCGATAAAGGTCACAAACATCGCTGAACCATCCCGAGTGTACAAAAGCCATAACACGGACCTTGCGCACTATTGGACATCCGTGAGTCTACAACCGTCAACACGAAGTAACGTGCAAAAGTAGCAGAGCGAGAATTGACCACTTGCCAGTGTATTTAGTCGGGACCCGGGTGAGAGTGGCTGTGGACACATACACCTTCAGCGTTTCTCGGGATTCGACCATGCACGTGCCCCAACATCCAGAGTTTGGTCTACAGCTTTCACTGTGGGCGGCACCTTTTTTTAACAGTCACGTACGGACATCGCCACTTCACGTCAAGCGACGCTCGCTTCCTGGACGGCTCCATTAACTTATTGTGCTCCTCGACGACGCGCGAGAATAGCAGCCAGCTCGCTGTTGGCTCCACCAACACCTCCATTTGTACTGGAAGCCTGGGCGTGCTCACCAAACTTGCGAGCTGACTCCATGGACGCCTTGGCCGACTTTCTTGATGTCAAAGCATGCTTCCGGGCTTCCTTCTCGGTTTGCTTTTTAGCTTTCTTCTCGGCAACGCGACGCAAACGCTCTACTTCGCGTTCGCGACTACGCTGCTCCTGACGCTTAGCTTGAATAGCCAGCTCTTCTTCTCGCTGCCTTTCAAGTTTTTTGCGACGTGTTTTCTCGCGCTTTCGGCGCTTACGAATATACTCATCGGGCACACCCGGCCCGACGTGGATCTCGATATTGTTGGCATCTCCTGTGATTTTGTCATGATCCGACGAGACAAATTGGATCTGCTGGGACGGCGTTCTGGACAGCTCTGCACTCGCTGCCCGGCAGAGACGAATCGAATCACTAAAATTGATCGGCGTCACGACATTCGCCGACGAGCGTATCGCGTCTACAAGCGTGACTGCAATTTCAGTCTTCTTCTCGGACAGCAGTAGCTGGTCTTCAGGCATCTCGGTGCACATCAGCCCAATGACCTTATCGTAGACACGGACTGGCGTGTAGAACCCCAAGTCCGGCACCACTTCCACTTGCTTGCAGACATCGTTGCAGTAAATTTTACCACTGTACCGGCAGTGATGTCGACGGTTGAACAGTCCAAACTTTTTGCCAGTGGCCATGCATACCATCGTAGTGTTGTTGCCCACCCAGTTACTTTTGTTCGGCTCGGCAAGAAGCGGTACTTGGCGCACCTTCAGAACAAAGTACGGGTCTGCTAATGTACTCATTGTAATCTCTTCTATAGCCGCCAGCTGAAGACGACGACGGAGGTACACCAATGGTGGCAACCATGCGCTTTTCGGGTCTAAGATAGGTTGCCACGTGCGTTTCTCCATCAGGTATAAGAACTGATCCGTAATGATGACAATTCGTCCTACCACTGCTACAGGAGATCCTTCAGGCGAAACCCCAGCTATCGGACACACCTTCTCAATCTCATCCAAGAACACGATTTTTTCAGAATCCTTATAGTGCTGGATAATCTCCATGACCGCCTCACGAATAGCATTGTCGCGTAGATAATCGCCGTCAAACGGACGATAAATACTCACGCGCTGTCGTTGCTTGTTGTTGGATGTGTATAGCTTCGTAATGTCGTGGCTGAGTTGCAACAGATGCCGGCGACCGAAGTATCTTTTCCATGCCTTTTGAATTCGCATCGCAAAAGAACCTAACTTTTTCTCCCGCAATTTCTCTAGCTCAAAGAAGATTTCAGGAGTTTGGATAAACACCATTGTCTTGCCAAGTTGAACCTCATTTTCAAGCTGTGGAAGCAATTTTGTGGCTGCACGCAACACTGCTTGAGTGCCCTTCTTATCTGACCCACGAAACTCAGGGTAGGTCTCTTTGCTAAGCAAACGAAAGCGATCGACAAAACGCCCGTAGTCTCCTCGGTACGCATACCCAGCGCGTCGCACTTTGACGTTTTCAAGGAGACCCAAGTACTTGATCTGGTGGATTACACGGCGGTCGTTCATTTTGTTGGACTGTTTCTGGTCGTTAGACTTAATGCAGCGCACATAGTGCGGTGTGCAGTCCATCAATGCTGTCACGAGGACGTCGCACTGAGTACGAATTTTGTATCCCGCCGTGTTTGCCATGCGCTTATCGTTCAGATCGATTTCTTCCGGAAAAATGTAGCGTATGAGCTTGTTGGATGTCTCGCTAATGATGAGCGCGATATCCTTACTCAAGAAATCCTTGTTAGAATCTCCAAAACCTTCGATGCTGTACTGCACATCACCTGCATAGTGCTTGATCTCAAAAGTCTTACCGCGCTTCGAGAAATGCGGGTGTGACCCGTGGATACCCGACACCTTCTCCAGAAAATTGGCGTCAACGCTGTCTCCTTGACGAGAGTGCATCGTTTTTATAGTGTCGTCCAGAACAAGAAAAATACCTGGTGTCGGACGACGAGCTTCGATCAAATCACACACGACTTTGTTGTTGAAGAACGGAATCGGTGCCCATGCAATGCCCTCGCGAGCATACTCTTCTTGCTCACTCTTTAGCGTGAGCTCAATAAAAATCTGCTGCAGCTTTTCATTGACGTAATTGATGCAGAATTGCTCAAATCCATTCTTGTCGAAGATTTCAAAGCCATAGATGTCAAGGATACCAATCTTGGTCATGTCCTCAATTTCAAGAAGCTCGCCGCTTTTCTCGGCTTTCTTCTCAATATCCAGCGCATGGTTCACGCGCTCAACCAGAAAGTCAAACAGTCGATCGTACACGGCCTTCGCAATCGAGTCGCGCTGTGCTTTGGCTTGACTTATATTCTGTGGCACCTCGTACGACTCAATTTTTCCTCCAGGTGCCATCGTCTGCAGCATTTTATAGCACAGAGCGTGTTCTAGACGCGCCGCGTCTAACCCCAGCAGTTCGCACGCAATCCGCAAGCTTTCACGGTCATGGACGAAAGAGCCCTCTGCATCGCCCACTGTATCGGGCTGGAAGTTCACATTACCCATGTGCAGCACTGCTGCCAACGTCTGGACGACCAGTTCAATTTGCTTGCGTTTGATACCAACATGTTGCATTGCCGCCATCGTCTCTTCAAACTCCTGCGCGTCATTCACATCGTCAACATCGTAGCACCCACTCGCTTCCAGATACTGATAATGCTCAGGTCCGCCCTGATCCAAGTGCAGCTTCTGCTTTGCAGCAGGCGATAGTCCAGCCACCATCTGATAGAAAATGTGAAAGTTTCGCTCTCCTTTGCCGGGCTTCACAACGCGTGACTTTTCCAGCAAATAGTTCGTCACTTTCCCTCCTTGCGGTCTCCCGGCCGAGTCAAACAGCAGCTCAAAGTACTTGCCAAAGCGACTGGAGTTATTGTTCCGCAGCGTCTTGGCATTCCCAAACGCCTCAAGCAACGGATTGCTCTCGAGGAACGTGCGCTTGACTTTGTCCACGCCTGCCCCGCTGCCACTGACTCCTGCCACGTAGTTCTGAATCTGCTTGGAAGCCTCCGTCTTGCCAGCCCCGCTCTCTCCACTGATAATGACGCACTGATTGTCCTCTTCACTGAGCATCGCGCGATACGTTTCTTCGGCCGTGGCGAACACGTGCGGCGCCACGTCAATGCGCGCCTTGTGCATGTACGCGCGCATGCTCTCTTCCCCGTAGATGTCCAGCCACTTGTACGGATTCACGACCACGAGGACGTGGCCAATGTACGAGTAGATGACGTCCGCGGCGTGGCGCATCTTGAGGTTCTCGAGGATGGACGTCTCGCTCACGGACGATAGAAGCACCAGGTCATCGACGCCGACGATGACACGGTCGGTGCTCAGGAGCGTCGCTTGTCTGGAGGCAGCTGTCTTGCGTCGCCCCATGAGCAGCAGCAGCAGGCGCAGCAGCAGCAGGCGCAGGAGGAGAAGGTGGAGAGGCGGTGGGTTGTTACTGCTGCTGGAAGTGCGAACGGGTTGCAACTGGACGTTGGTGGAGTCGCTCTCTGGAGATTGTTCACTTGTGCACGGCGCAGGGAATTCGGTTGTGAGCGGCGACGATGTGATGCAGGAGGAGCCTAGATTAGGGTGACCTCGAGAGGCTTGATGTGGTGATTAGGGAGAACTCTATTTCTCGCGAAATAGCGTGGTGAATGCGGGGTTAAATGTGAGACCTGTAGGACGATATGAGTTGACGGACAATGGTGAGATCATATCTGTGAGGTGGTTGTGATATTTTCGATCAGGGCCCCGACGACCCGGACCGGTTTTATTGGATTGATCTGGTGTTTGATCCGGCTGGTCCGGGTCCTAAAAAGAGGTCCGACCCGGATTCATGACCCACTGGTCTTTTTTGTTCTATTTCCATATTTTTTGTCGTAGCAACCAACCCAGATCGCATATTTTCTAGCTACTTAGGGGTGCTGTATTGAGCTCAGTGTTCCGAAGCTAGCACACGTTGTACTCGTGTCGGTCTCTCATGATTACCGATCAGCATGTCATGTGATGTGTATTTTAGCCAATTTTGTAATCATTCCATGAAAATGGAGACAGGACCGATGCAACCAAAAAATGCATCATCAGTCGCCTCGGCCGACAATGTCACTAAGCAAACACAGGGTGCTGCCAGTACCAATGGCAGCAAGACAACAAGCTGGGTTTGTACGTACTTTGTAAGGCTTCGAGAAGAAGGTAAAGCTGTTTGTCAGGTCCGTCAGCTTCGTGGCGGATCAGCAATTTGCGGAGGTACATTTGTATGTACAGATATGAGTGGTACCAAATATCTGGCCAAGCGTTTGATAAGCAAGCATCAGATACATTATGAGATACCTAAACAAGGTGCAATGCGTGCATATTTAACATTAGAATATATGAAGGTGTGTGCATCGCATAAGTTGATGTAATTGAGTTTATTATGAAGGCGTCGCTCAAACTTACTCTGAAGCATTCGTTGCCTTATCAGCTTGTGAATTTTAGGCAGTTGCGTAAACTTCTTGAGCTTTGCAACCCCACAACGAGCTTTCTGTATTCGCCTAGAAATAGCAGATAAACACAGTCGATCACCTCTACAAGCTTGTACCAAAATGAGTGGAAGGTGTACATGCTTCTGTACAACATAAGCGTACAACGGCATGTACCCGATGATCCGTGGAATGAACAAGATCTATATTAAAATAATGAATGATGAGCAGGATCATGGCAGAAGAAAGACTCATGTTACAGATAGACAAGTATGGGTGTCAATCACGTATACAATGCTACTTAATTTATTGAACGTTTTAGACGTACATGCTGGCCCATTTGACGGCTTCCCTGAAGTTTTTGTCACATCAACGCTCTACTAACCCACTTGATTCGAAACACGTTTTACATTTGTGTAATTGGGAAGGCTCTGCTGCGATTCCAGATTATGTGGTACACACTAGTGTTTTGGACTAGGGCGACCCAAAGGGTCGCCCTGGACCAGCTGGTCCGGGTCCTGGGTCGAGTCCACACCTGTACCGATGACCCTGGTCGACGCCGTACTTCCAACAGACGGTGATATGTTCATACCTTCTCCTGAAATTCGGTGTCATTGCCAAACCTGATATTCGTACCATTTTGCTAACCCTGCTGATCGTACCCCTTTTGCTAAAACCTGATATTTGAACCATTTCTTTACTAAACGTGCTATTGCAATCCTATTCCTCGTACTAGCTCTCTACATGCTTTCAATATTTTGGAATTTATGCATTGGTGTACCACACCTTATCTTCGTACCAACCATCAAAAAGTCGCTTATCGCTCGAATAGCGTGCGTCTAATGGGGTCATGGGGCACATTACTCGTTGTTGGAGTCATTATACAAGAAGGGCGGAATCACGAGTGTACGATTGGTTGTACATGTGATATTGTAAAAGGTAGTCAAAATTCTACTCCAAATAATTGCTCCTAACCCATTACTATACAAAAATTATTTGCCACAATTATTTGGCTGCTCTCCTTTTGGCTCGTGTGACGTACGTCCAGTTTTCCTTCACACCACCCACTGAAAATGGATGCTGCTTCTATTTTCTTGACTATACCGTTGGTAAAATCTTGTCTCAGAGCCACGTTCTGAAGGCATAAAAAGGCTAAACAGATATTGCTGCACTAATTTTTGTCGAGTCGTCCATGTGGTTGGCTTGAAAGAGTCTCGTAATTATGTAGCGCTCAACAAGGCACGACCAAGATCTCTGTTCACCACGTGTATGATAATGAGAGAAATCAGCAGATGTGCGTAGGTATTCACGCACACCTATTGCGTGACATTTCGATGTTTGCGCATTTTATTTGTGGACGAAAGCGTACAATATTAAGAATATCAGGCGAATTTGCAAGTTTTTGGGATTGTGATCCATTACGGGGTGGGTCTGTTGCATTTGAGTCGCACTCAATGCTTATTAATTAAAATATATTATAAAGTTGATTATGTTCGTGAATTTATCATAAGGGGTAGTATGCGCGAACACTCACCGATTGGCTGATGTGGCCATCATATCTGTAACGGGGTGAATCGTTACATAACAATTTATAAGAAATTGTTAATAGAATATAACTATAAGAGTTCTATTCTCAGAATATTGTCATAAGGACAAATATTCTGTTGCACTTACAAGTAGTTCCTAATTGGTTGATATAGGCCATTATATCAACCAACGAAGACGCGCCACGACAGACGCACGTAATGAGTGGTGAGCAGATAACTGATTTACACATTTGTATTTAGACATAGTTAGATGAAGATAAATAGTGATTTATTGCAGACATTAACTATTATAAATACAGTTCTACTTTTTACTCTAACCAAGTACTCGCTTCTTCTTACCGTCTTCCTCTGCACGTACCAGTGTACGTGAAGTTACGAGGCACCGCCTTATTCTGTCATCAGAATAAGTAGCTTGTACTGTCACCAGTACAAGCTTCAGGGTGCCCCGTTACACCTGGTAGCACTTCGTAGTCCGTCCAAGGACCGCGTTCACATCCAACATGAATATGTTGGATGATGAAGATGACCAAAGCTTTCACGCTACGCGTGACGGCTACTCCCATTTGAGCGATGTCGAATGGGATGCGGTTGAACGAATGGGTTCGACCATGGGCATCCATGCTGTTAGCGTCATGCTAGAGGCTCTCAATAGAGATGCCCAACATGCTACTATCGCCAAGTTCATTCAAAATGAACTTGACGCTGAACGCGAGAAAGTAGCCTTGCTTCACCAACAAGGTTCTCAACAATCAGAGTTGTTGAGAGAACAGGGTGCTCAACAGTTTGAACTGTTGAGACAGCAGCAGGCTGCTGCTGCTGGCGGGTCGATGCACTCGCGTCGACCCGAGACTTTGAAGATTGACATCTCCAAGTATAGGGGGGTCGAAGAAGACTCCCTCTTGAGATGGTTCGTCAGGTGGATGACGCCATAAGGGCGCGTCGCATCGACGACGGGGATATGCAAGTTGCATTTGCCCAGTCAAATCTGGCAGGACGTGCCAAGACTTGGGCACTGGGGCTCAAGTTGCACGACCCATATGCGTTTGGGTCGTTGGAAGTCTTCAAGTCGCGGCTCAGACAAACGTTTGAACCGCCTAGAGCTGAGTTCAGGGCTCGAACCGAACTCTTGAAGCTCAAACAGGGTAAGCGTGATGTGCACGCTTACGCTCAACATATACGACATCTCACGAGTTGTATAAGTTCCAATCCGGTGGATGAACACACGTTGGTTTCGGTGTTCATGCAGGGTCTTGCGGATGGTCCCGTCAAGACTCACCTGTTCCGGCTTGAACTAGATTCACTAGAACAAGCCATTTCCATTGCGGAGCAGGAAGACTTCAGTCTGAGACAGGCTCGCGCCAGCTCGACATCATATCGTCAACCGAGACGATATGACAACGGAGGTCCAGAGCCGATGGAACTCTGTTATGTAGAGAGCGAGAAGGCTCGCTCTACAGGCTACAAGAAGTTGCAGAGATGCAACAGATGTCAAAAGACAGGACACTACGCTTACGAGTGTAGTGCCCCTCGTCCAGTGTCTCGCGACACTGGGCGTAGTGACCGTCCACCCATGAGAAAGGGGCAGGGACGAGGGTCCGCAGTTGGTGCAAAGACGCAACAACGGGATGGACCGTCAAAAAACGGACAGGATCAGTAGGTGCGGAGCACCCTACTGGTCTAGCAACGTCAAGAGAATTTGTAGGCCTCTTGATGAAGGTTGCTCCCAACACACAAACGTTGTGCGTTGCTGCTCTAGGTAATGAGATCTCACTCATTACCTTGAAACTCGAAGTGACAAATGAGTTGTCCCTTCGAGCTCTAGTCGATTGTGGGGCGTCCAACAATTTTGTGCGACGCCAATCGCTAGAAGATGGTCACTTTAAATTCAGTGAATGTGACACACCTCCTACGAGGATGACGGCACGTCTTGCGACAGGCGCATCCGTAACCTTCATGAATCGTATAGTGAAGATCCACTATACGCTAGAAGATACCCAATATGATGATGACTTTATCGTATTGGATTTGGATGACAAATTTGATGTCATCCTTGGAATACCGTGGCTCAGAAGGTACGAACCACGGGTAAACTGGCAACATCGAACAGTAACGATGCCTGCCGCTTGTTCATCAGATGGCCATCTGATGAACGTTTTGGAGCGTCCACAAGCGTGTGGATGTACTACGAGTGAGTGCGATGGCCTCACTTGTGGTACGGTCGTTAGTACGACTGCACAAAACCTTAGTGTACCAAACGGTTACACTTCGGAGCAAAGTTCCGGCGGCTGTGAGGAAACACAGGCTGCGCCGAAGGTCCACCACTCGAATAAGTCGGGTGGACTGGGACAAAGATGTATCCCTAGCGGGGAACATCTAGAAGAGAAACAATCGATCGCTCAGGTTAAGCGAAACGATAATCCTAGATCGACTGGAGAGTCTTTCGTAGAGGATCTCGCTGTGGTTGTGCAACCCCAGCTAGAGGAAGTAAAGGGAATAAGGCGCTATGGAAAATCTGCTCAAATTTTTTTACATAAATACGGCGGAAATAAGTTCCCCGAAACCCGCGGGAATAAGTCCCAGGGAAGCCGAAGGAATAAGTCCTTCGAAGCCTGAGGGAATAAGTCCCCAGGAAATGACAGAGACATTGAATGTCATAGTCAATAACGGATCAAGTGTAGGCGCTTATACACTTGATCTGATTGCGCCTCCGAAGTTAACTTCGGAGATCACTCAGTTGCCAACGCTCGAACATAAAAGGTTCTTGCGTGATCTGCGTAGTGACAAAGTCAACCAGATCTACGTACTCGTCGCTGACGACGAGTGTGTAGCCGACATAAGGTCAGCAAAAGTGTTCACTGAGAACGAGAGAGTTCTCAGTAGTTCATCTATGGACGAGAGTGTCCTAGATGAAAAGACACGAATTGAGCGATATGACTCCCAATCATGGGAATCGCTCAAGAAAAATCCTCTCTATGAAAATTTGGTTGAATTCAAGGATGTATTCCCTGAAACTGTTCCGTGCGAATTACCGAAGGATAAAGGTATTCGACACGAGGTCGAGCTTAAACCAGGCTCGAAGTACTGTGTCATGAAGCAGTGGCCACTGCCTCGTGAACAAGTACTTGCGATCGACAAGTTCTTTGCCGATCGTTTAGCTGCGGGCCATGTGAGGGAATCAACTTCCCCACATAGCTCTCCGACCTTCTGTGTGCGAAAAGCAACAGGAGGGTGGCGGATAGTGCATGCATTTAACAAGTTGAATGCTGCAACGGTACCGGCTCAGACGCCGATACCGAGGAAGGACGTAATCATTGATGGTATGTCAAAGAGTACCATCTTTTCGTCCATGGATTTGATGGATGGCTTCTATCAAATCCTTATGCGGGAACGGGATATACCCTATACCGCAGTTAGCACGCCTAGCGGCATGCTCTGGGAATGGCTAGTAATGCCACAAGGGCTTAGTAATGCCCCTGCCACGTTCAACAGATGTGTATCACATCTGTTGAGACCAGTACGAGAATTCGCGCCGAGTTATTTCGATGACGTATTCATCCATAGTCGAGCTATGGATGGAAAGTCGGACGTTGAGGTTCACAGGTACCACGTCCGACAAGTTCTTACAATCATGCGAAAGCATCAATTGTATGCTAACCTCAAGAAGTGTATATTTGCAGCAAGCGAAATACCACTTCTTGGGTGCATCGTTGGTAAGAACGGTGTACGTCCTGATCCCGAAAAGATCAAGGCGATCACCGACTGGCCTGTGCCGGTTGATGTCAAAGGTCTTCGAAAATTCCTTGGGCTAGCGGCGTATTTGCACAAGTATTCACGCAATTACGCCGAGATGACTGTGCACCTCTCTCGTTTGTTGAAAAGAACGAGAGGTGGTTATGGAACGCTGAATGTCAACGCTCCTTTGATGGTATCAAGCAGAGCTTGATACAATCCCCAGTCCTAGCAATTGCCGATCAGGACAGGCCATTTCATGTGGTCTGTGATGCCAGCGATTTCGCAATCGGCTGTGCATTAATGCAGTACGATCTTGAAGGCGTTGAACGCGTCGTCTGCTATCAGTCGCGTCAGCTGCAACCAGCTGAGCGGAACTATCCAGTGCATGACAAGGAACTCCTTGCCATGAAGTATGCACTCGCGAAGTTCAGAGTCTATCTATTAGGAGATAGACCCTTCATTGTTTACACTGACCATGCGTCATTACGCACGGCAGTGAACAGCCCGCACCTTTCACAACGAATGGCGCGGTGGTTGTCATTCTTTGCGGAATACAACTTTACGGTCGAGTACAAACCAGGACGACTTAATGTCGTCGCTGATGCACTCTCACGTCGTCCCGACTTTGAAGCAGTCGCGAAACCCAACAGTGAGACAGTCACTGTTGCGTTTATGACGTCCTCAGTCCCATCTACAACGTTGTATGATGATGTGAGGCGGGCGTATACCCAAGATGGTGAGATTGTGAAGTTGTTGACACATCTCTCCCAACCATCCCGAGAATCGTTGAAACGATTGTCGCCTGCGTATCGATCTGCATCAGATCGATACACTACTCGTAACGGTTTACTATATTATACAGCCGTTTCTGGTGATACACCACGTGTTGTCATTTCAGATGATACTGATCTGCGTTTGCGGATCATGTTCGAGTATCACGATGCTCCTATAGGAGGACATCGTGGCCGCGAGAAAACATATCTCACGGTAAGTCGAGACTTTTACTGGCCCCGCCAGTATCAGTTTGTGCGAAAGTATGTTCGCGCATGCGAAGTCTGTCAACGAGTGAAGTCAAGTACTTCACTGCGTGCACCTTTACAGCCTCTACCGGTTCCGGCTGAGTGCTGGGAATCCATCTCAATGGATTTTGTCTTCGGGTTACCCAACGACGCACGCGGGAATACGGGTATTCTCGTATTTGTTGACAGATTCAGCAAAATGGTACACCTTGTGGCTGTACCAGAGACAATCACGCCAATTGGCTGTGCTTGTGTCTTTATTGACACCATCTTCCGACTTCATGGGTTGCCCCGTGAACTCGTATCAGACAGAGATCCACGATTCACTGCTGATTTCTGGCGTTCCGTGTTCAAATCACTCGGAACGCGCTTGAAGATGTCAACATCTGATCATCCAGAGTCAGATGGTCAGACGGAACGTGCCAACCGTGTCCTTGAAGATATACTTCGAGGATACGTACACTCCTTTAAGAGTTGGAGTGAGTTTTTGGCAATGGTAGAGTTTGCCATCAACAACTCGGTGCATGCGTCCACGACACATACACCGTTTTACGTGAATGGCTTCGCCATCCGCGTGTACCCACCTTACTAGAGTGTAACTCTGGTTTAAGGGGGGGAGGGACTCGCGCGAGCAAAAACCGATTTGGTTCACGCTCATCACGCTCTGACGAAGAAGTCATTGCGTTTGATGCCGATATCGATAACATCGATATCGAAGAAGATGATGCCAGTGAGAGTGCGGAAGCCCTCACTGAAGACAATGATCCCAGTGAGAGTGCGGAAGCCCTCACTGAAGAAAAGGTTGTTGTCGCTGCAGTGCGCTCACAGCACACTGAAGCTAACGAGTCATCAGATGAGTTCATACTGGCTCGTGAAACGGTAGTCCGTTTTGTGCAAGACTCCATCGCCGAAGCGATGGATAAGCAAAAGCAAAACGCTGACAAGAATGGAAGGGCAAACACTCTTTTATTTAATAAAGGCGACTTAGTCCTACTGTGTACGGTTAATCTACCAAAGCATGTAGTGACTAACTTGGGTAGCAGTAAACTACTACCCAAGTACATTGGCCCATTTCGTGTATTGCACCGCCTAGGCAATGCATACACGATCGAGTTACCACGTAAGATGCGAACGCATCCCACGTTTTACGTTGGTCGGCTTAAGCCGTACCATCAGTACGCTGCTTCTTCCGATGAAGAACGCCCTTGCGCTCAAGCATCTCGCAGAGGAGCCTTGCGCTCCCGATGGTGGGCATCAACAAGGGTCTGAAGAGCAGTTATCTCAACCCGAGACCGATCAACAATCCCACGAGCTACCCTTAGCTCGTCACGAAGAGATGTCAGAGATCTCTCGTTCTCGAGCTGAGCAAAGGCAAACTCAGCTCGATGCTTCGAGGCAGTGTCCGCCATTTGGAGACGCCTATTCCGCTCATGTTCGAGATCGTCGCGCAATGCAAGAGTTACGCGGTCAAAGAGGCTCTCGGGGATACACGGATCCCCATGATCGTGTGGAGAGCGTCTTTCCTCCTCCTCCACCTCCATTAGAGGACTCTCGCGGTGGTCAGCACTATCTAGTTGAGCAGCTGTTGAACCACCGCGACGTGAACGGACGTCGGAAGAGTTATCTCGTCCGGTGGCGCGGCTATCCCCCGTCCTGGGATACTTGGGAGCCCCGCTCCCAACTGATAGTTGACGTACTGGGTTTGGTTGAGCAGTACGACGCGGCGCATCCTGTGCCGCAGAAGGAATGCCGGAGAAAGTCTTCCCGGCAAGGTCGTAAAGGGATTTCAGGTTGTCAATCCCTTCGTACATCTCAATAGAGATACGTACGCGCCACCACGGGCTAGTAAGGAGGTAAGCCTCCTTAGGTGCTCGTGCAGAGTTGTTCACACAACATGGGCACGAGT